AAGATGCACTGTTTCCAAAACTTGAAATCCTTTTTTTTTCTCTTGTCCATGCATCTTGATGTCAAGATGATCAATTAAGGATATTTGGGTATCAAATAACCTCTTGTAAACAAATTTTTTAGGCAGGCTCTAATTTGATTGTTTAGAGCCTCGACTCTATATAAACTTTTTCCTTAGGGAGAGCACACGACCTGTGCAAAAGTGAACCAGGAGGTGTAGCAGGACCCTCAGTAATAGGAGCCTCAGTTGGAGAGAAAGAGGGAGCACACTATGCTCCCGCAGGAGCTTTCGGGACACGGTACCTTTTGTCTTTTGCAGAAGATAGTCTCACTTAATCTAATATTCAAAAAAGGAAAATGGTTTGATAGAGCTGCAACCCTATCAAAATAAGTAAAGCCTCATTTCATAACTCATCAAAAATTGCAATTCAAGTGTTAAAAACCTTTAAATGGATCTTCAACATTATGGTTGTGAAAAAAAATAAAAAAATTTCAAGTTCTAAAAATGTAAATTGCAGTAAATCATCTAGACCATCCATTTCACCCTAAAAATACGTATTCACAAATCTAGGGATCTTTACCATTTTTTTCGTTTTAAATTTTATTATCGGTGTTGAAAATTGAATTTAGATTATGAAGATTTATTATGCCCATAGTGCTTTCCGAATGGAGATTTGAGTGAGCATTTATTTTAATTTAATAAACCCTAGGCCCTATAGAAACTTCATTCTTACCACAAAAAAATAAAAGAAAAAGGTAATCTACATTATAGACGTAGATATTGAGAGCTTATGTGACGCTCCAGTGGGAGTATATTGTATATGTACTCCCTCAGATAGAAGTGTAATTCGAGAAGATCATTTTTATTCGAAATTTTTGGAAGCTGCTTAAAAATTATTTGATAGTTTCTATTCAATTTTGAGGCATTACTTTTTACAAGACCATGGAGAATGCAATTTTAAATTTTTTTTATTTATAATAATAAATGGGTTGAAGAGGTTACATCTCCAAAACTCAGTCCTAAAAACAATCTTAGATTGGGTTTTGCCCAAGGGAGTAAATGGACAGTATTCCCCCTCATAATCTTTTTGTATAAATAATTAGTGCGTATACGATGCTCTTGTGGGAGCATATGCAGAACATTTACTCTATCCGTCACAAGATCTAGTTCGGATAATTTTTTTAATCTAAAATTTGGAGTAACCTAAATATCACTGGGTGATTGTTTCTAAAAGAAAAAAAATCTGAATTTTTTAGTTTCTAACACTTGGATCTCGCCCTCCAAAATTTGGACCGTCTTCTTTCAATCTTGGGACATTGTTTTTTACCAGTGCAATTTTTTAAAAAATAATATTGATCTTAGTCTATGGGTTGAAAAGGTTACTTCGCTAGTATTTGGTGTTTTAGAATTCTGGGTTTTACTAGATGGAGTAAATGAAAAGTATGCTCCCCAAGGGAGAATGAAATGTACTAAATATTATCTTGAGTTAATTTATTAAAAGGGAATTTATCCAAAGGAAAATTTGTATAAGTCTCAACGTTATACTATAGAAATGAAGTGCATCTAAACTATCCACTAGAAGAAGAACAATTGTTTCATGCGTCCTGGACCGCATTTCTACATCATGCAGCCTGGAGGTATAAAGCATCCATTTTAAAGATGGATGCAAATAGGTGGTCAATCTAAAAACAAGTGTAACTAACGGTCCAAATGTTTTTTTAATATAATTATCATTTATAGTTTTTATTTTATTTTTCTTTGATATTTATGATCTCCATGTTAAATATTATATATTCTTAAAAAAATAGGATTAAATTATACTTAAAATATATATTTATTGTGTAGGCCGCATTTCTACATGTGTGGGCTTGGCCATATGCTAATCGTGTCCTTAGAAAAAAAGTGAACAGAAGTTGAAAAACCCGCAATGATAATTCTATTTCAATAGGAAAATAAGAATTTTAAGTCTTAAAAATGGTGCATCTTGTAACAAGTTATCTGGACTATTTATTTTCATGATTTTCAAGTATTTATAGATATGCTTATTGTCGCCTTTTTTAAATTTTAAGTTTTACTGTTAGGGATGAAAATAACTTTTAAAAGTTTGTATAAAGTTTTTTTGACATCCGAACTACATCTTCTAACAAAATTTAAAGAGATGACGTACTTTTAGTATAGAATAGACACCCTATATAAACCTCGTTATTTATCAATATCATCTACAAGTTGAACTATTTAATATTTTAGAAAAAAATTCATTGTAGATTATAAAATAAATGCAATATTATCGCATCGTTCATATATTTTTTCTCAATTTTAACACCCCAGTCTTATTTTTTAGTGGTTTTTTTTATTTATTAGTTTTTCCCTTCGATGCTAGCAACATTGAGTTTTTTTTTTTTGTTGCATCTAAGGTGGTACAATACCATATTTGTTTACCGGTCTATTATTGTTTTCAGTGTAATTTTGCGGTGTGATTTTGATGAGCTACTAGAAAAATTATTTTGTTTGAAATTGGGAAACACATCCAAAGTTGCTTTAATATTTTATCAAAATGCTTCGATAATTTCAAGTAAATATTGTATATTATGCGACCATTTATCTTTGTTGTAAAGAAGTTACAATTATTTTTTAGTCATTATCGTTAACTTGGATGGCTTGGGATGTGTCACGAAGTTCAATAAATTTTTGTTTTGAATTTTAGGTCTAATCAATGGTATTCTAACAACCACCCGATTAGAAATTTGACGGGCAATAGTGTTTGTGACCTCCTTGTCGCAAAAATAAATGGCCTCTTTGTATATATTTATTTTAAAGTATTAAACTTATTTTGGTTTTTTTATTCAAATTTAATCAAAACAAAAAGATAAATGTTAAAGGCTGTGGCCTAAACAATCAAAGTAAGGCGCACTTTGAAATAGAATCGAAATATGTTATTTCAATACTGGAAATCTTTGTGTTGGTCTGAATTTCTATTTTCATCTCTAATTATAAAATTTAGAGCTTAAAAAATATTGTATATTGAGTAGATCTATGAACACTTGAAAATCTTGAAAATTGAAGGGTCCATAAAATGTATTACAAGATGTACTATTTTCAAGATTTAATTTAATTTAATTTTTTTTTTATCATATTCATACATCTTGATGTCGAAATGATCGATTTGAAGATTTTCGGGCATCGAAACAACCTCTTATAGTAAATTTTTGAAGTGTGCCTCAATTTGATTGTTTAGGGTTTCATCCCTCTATGAACTTTTCCCAATGTTAAATAGTTTTCGTTTTAATAAATTTTACCTTGAAATTAAATAAAAATATAAATAAGATGCTAAATAATTCAAATATTAAATGTTAGATTTCCCTAAATTAAATGGACATTTTGATCATGGGATTCACTGACCAGTTTATTCAGTGCTCATTTAAACCGGTCATATTCATCATACTCATTAAAGATAGACAAAATATACACCAACTGCAAAAATGGGCAAGTGATGTCATTCTTACTCTAGAGAGAGATACAAATCTTGTAGATTAGAGAGAGAAAGTTCCAAAATAAGCTGCTGCAAACTTTTGTCTATTAGAGAGAGAGAGAGAGAGTCCCAAAATAAATAAACTGATAAAAAAGATTTTGAAGGACTGCAGAGAATCCATCTCGAGCTGAAGTCAGATGATAAGAGTACCAAAATTGCCAAGAAAAAAAAAACAAAGAAAGGAGAGAGAGACGGTCGTGGTAAAGATGAAGAGAGATCGAGTAGATTTGCAGATATCGTTCATATGATCCAAAAATAGAGAGAGAGAGAGAGAGAGAGATCACCCAATATCGAGGGAAGATCACAAGAAATCAAGATGGAGAGATCACAATAGAGATACAGTGTCACAAGCGATTAACAGTGAGAGAGGATCAGAACAAATAAAGAGCCAATTTGCTTGCCTAGAGAGAGAGAGAGAGAGAAAGAGGAAAGCTCCCCAACAAGAGGAGAGAGACTCGTAATCACAAACAGATAAAAAAACATAAGCCCCCCCCCCCGCCCAAAGAGAGAGAGAGAGACAGGGCAAATGAAGTCCACTTCCCCAATACTACAACTTCTTTCTCTCTCTAGAATGAAGCCAACCAAAAAGT